ACTGTAAATAAGGATTTATTTAATGGTTTCTGTAACATTCGAGGGACAGATCTTCCCTTTTTCCTCTTCAGAAACATGTGCAATGTGTATTTTGATGCTTCTATGCAGAATAGTATCAGGCAACACCCTTAAAGCTTATTTAAATAAAAAAAAATTAGAGGCCCTGTATTTAATTTCACTAATCCAGTTTTGAAAACAATTGGTATTTTTTTAATTATAACACCAAGAGAATGTAATGATACTGACTCCACAATTGGTAATAAGGTCGCTTTTGATTTCACTACATCGTGTTTCTAATCTACAACAATACTTCCTTTCATAACACTGTTTAAAACAATCCTATTATTTGTAATTTAGTGTGAGGGCACTTACTCTTTCTGCTCAGTGAGAGAATCAACTCACTGCAGTCAGGTGTGTGTGTGACTGATTGGCTTTGATTAAGCTCAGGTGTGTGGAGTTTATATAAACTCTGGGTCTGCAGTGGTCTGTACTGACTCATTATCTCACCGTCAGAGGTAGTGAGAGGTTCTCCTTGTGTGTGCTCTCGTTGTCTGTTTGTAAATAAACACAAACAAAGAACTTCATGTGTATTTGTTTTCCATTACTAGTGTCTCAGAGAACAACTTGGGGTGCTGGGTAGTTTTGATGCTACTCCAGGCTTTTGTGTTAACTGTTAAAGCCTCCTGGGTCACCTGTTTGGTGTCAGCTGTGGTTTAGTTCATCATTTTCGTTCAATTATTTAGTTTAGGAAAGCTTGATATGGCTCTATACAATTTCTTTGTTTTTCCCCCTCTCCAATCTATCGTTTGAGATTTTTGTAGTTATCCTTCTGGGAGTCCCCCTGGGTCTGCAAAAAGCCTACGTAGAATTCAAGTGCAATTTCAAATAAGGAAACTGTGAATAGAAATATTTACAAGTGAATCTTTTATTACTCATCTTGTTAAAATGGGATTTCTTGAGTTTCATTAATATACTCTAATTATCTTAACTCATTTACTCTCGTCCTAAGCTTTGGGGAATCGCTTGCTGTCCTTACACATTAAGACTTTTCAAGCGATTTCAACATCAGACACATTTTCATAGTTGAAGTAAAATCATGAGTTTTGCTGGAGTTGGGGTGCGCTCCTGTGATCCAAGTTTAGAGCTCAATCTGAAATGTATTAAGGCATGTATTGCCGTTACAATAGAAATCTGACATATTTAATATGATCTAAGGTCTTTTAAAGAAGTAGCTTGTGGTAGGTTAACTGCTGTGTTTCAGCCTACACACATTTGACTGACATTGAGGGCCTTTACTAATAAGATATTAAGAATTAGTCTAACTGTCTAGCAATCCTGGGGCTGACTAGAAGAGTGAAGACATTAAATCATTTTGTCAAGTAAATGTGCACATCCCAAGTTGTTTCACATTAAAAAAAAAAAGTCTCTTCTATGAATTTGAGACATGGCACAGGGAGTGAAAATGTCAAAGTTCAGTATTTGTTTGTAGTCTTCATAAAACTTCAGACTAAGAAGAATTGAAGGAGTCACACAGAAACAAGAGGGTGCTTTGAAAAAAATGTCTGGATATAAGCCAGAGGATGCACTCCCACTTACACCTGACTGTCTGCAATGGCTGCTACCATGTAAAGTAAGATGAATAGGAAGTATCCAAACTGTGTACTACACCACAGTTCATGCATCGCACAGGTAATACTCAATCTGCACATTTGTTAACTTGACTAGTTTATTCCTTTTAAGCTTTTGTTACACAGGTGTCTGTGCGCACACACACACACACACGCGCTATACAGTCATACACAGACACACACAAGAATTTGCCCATGAGGATGCTCCCTTTCAACCACTTTAAACAGAAAATGTATTCAGAGAGCAGCCACAAGAGGAGTTCCACTTCACAAACCTCAACACACACACACACACACACACATCCACGTACATAAGCATACATGTGTGCTGAGACACACTCCCACATCTCCACCCACTCACTGCGGAAGTTGATTGCAGCAGGCCGGGACTCAGTGGGAGTGGGTCATGGATGGATGGCTCTGTGTTTTCTTTTGTTTTTAGCCCAAGAGACCCACAACAGATCAGTGAGATATTATGAAAAAGATAATAAAGAAAATGTGTTTTCACGGCACATGCCAATCGTATAATGTATGTGGACTAAGATTGCAATGCCTCCTTACTTAACATTTTTTACTTTAGTAAATCTGAATAGTGCATTCACTGAAAAATGAAGATGTGCAATTTAGCCTCCTCGAGAAATATTACTTGCAGGAAATCAACAAGTGACATCATGTGAAAAAAATTAATTCTACACGACAAAAAAAAAGTCCAACCAATTTAGTTGCAACAAACAGAATAGGTGCATGCAGGAAGTATCAGCTGCAAAGTCATTACATGCATGTGTGTGGTTGTTTTGTGCTTTGTGTGAGTGTACACAAAGGTAAATCACTTAAGACCTTTTTCACACATGTACAAAACATCTGACAATTTCCAAAATTTTAGAGGGGAGCTGCACGTGTGAATACACAGAGCTGGCTTTTCACCCTGACTTTTCCTGCCAGCTCCGATTGTAACATTTCAGAGCGAGCCAATGTGCTGGAAATAGAAAAGGAATATTACCACGTGTGAGTGAAGTGATGAAGTTTAAAATCCTGTTTATATCTACTTTCCAGAGTGTTCTTCGGCGCTTTTTTTTTTTACTCAAAATGTTTAATTACATCTAGCATTGATATAAAGGTAAAAACTGTCATCATAGCATCTGACTTTGTTGTTTGTCAGCCACCTTGGCACTTCCTTTTAACATCATGGCTTGCCTCCTGAGACCACACCCCCTCAGTCGTCCACCAGGGAAAGTCTACGGCTGTGAGGGACATTTGTGAACAAGCAACTCTGGAAGATTTCAGGGAGAGGATGTGTGACATTTTCAGTGTGAAAACTGCTTCGGGGTATCTTATGCAATGAATGCTGTTCCTTAAGGCTTCAGAGAAACTCTTGACTCTTTTCCATGCTCACAAATGAATGTGTATTTCCGACACCACGAGACTTTGTGTTTACTTCACCACAGGCTCCCAACTGACGACCTCATCCTACACCGGGGGAATGTCAACTCATCTAAACAATCATAACCTCAGCCACAAACCAGCAACCTTTTCTCACACACTCTTTTTCATTTTCTCCCCTCTCACAAAGAAAACAGAAAAAAATTGTTCACATCTAATGGGGTCACATGGCAGCTATTATCACACACCGCTGGGCACACCTCAATGCATCATGGGAATGGGTACTTGCAAAATGCCAAAGGTCAAATATTGTACTTTAGAATGTTTTCAGCTCATCTCAATTCATGCCAAACTAACAGCTACGTCGCTGGTCAGCAGCCTCCCTGCAGAGTTACATTAGCTCATTGACAGTCCGGGAAAGAAATTACAAAAAGCAGCACACTGAGACTGTCTGTTTTTTTAAACTGTTTTTGACACCATCTGATTCACTGGTAAAACAAACGGAATAAAAGAGAGATGAGACATTGGATAGAAAATGTGGCGAGATAGAAGGAATAACGCATTGGTAATCAATTAGCAAGGGTGCAAATCTTTGAGAAACAGCCTGAATATTTGTTTTGCTCAGAGGAAGGCTGACATTAAACAGCTTCTTCAAGCTCAACCCTGTGTCATTGTGCATGCAAAAAAGGCTGAATGGAAAGGCCTTGGTATGTAAGAAAATGCACTTGAAGTTTGCAAATAAACACATTCACAAACTCATCCCTGAATGTAGATGTGTAGACATAAATACACACACACCTTGTAAACGAGGTTTGAGGGAATTCATAGTTCTAGTTTTGGCTGCTGATTTGACTTACAAATTGGGTAGCCTGCTGTCTACTGCAGAGAATTAAATAGTTGAAGTGCACTTTATTTTATTTTAGACACACTATATGCACCTGTTCCATATGCAGCCCTTGAACATAACGTAATAGCTGTTCTCTGCTCAGAAAGGCAGCTATGTGCTCTTTGTCTTCAGCCCACCATACCAGATTAAAGCACTCTTGACTGATTATCACGTAATCCCACCTACAGATACAAGTAGTCACTGAAAGCTACAGTAGGAAAAAAATATATATATATATATATATATATATATATATATATAATATATAGTTTCTGCTGCTGCAGGAAATCTTAACCAAATACATTTTCTATGCATCAACAGGAGCCAGGGTATGAATTTGCTTATGGAGTCTCAAAACAAATCTCAGACACTGTGGGGGACTTCACAAGTGAATCATTTGAATGTTAATGAAGAAAGTTACTGTTTTGTTCTTGTGTTTGATGACTTTCTGTACCCTGTGAAGCTGCTAAACATGAGACAACGCTGACACCCCACACAACGACAGTCTAACGCTACATCAAAATCAGTTCTGAATAATATCCGCAGAGATGTACTGTACACTCTTACTCGGTCACTCTCTCTCTTCTCTTCGTAGCTTCATCTGTCACCGCCCTCTTCCTCTTGGCCAATGTTAGCTATTGTATCAAACAGTATTAGGGTTGTCATTTTTTTTTTTTATTCCTGGGGGAGAAAACTCGCATTTGAACTGTAATGAGCATTTCAAATTCAAAATGTATAGTCTATCAGCGCATCAGGCCATCCAGCAGATGGCGCTCTCAGTGTAACATGACCTTTCATGACCATTCCAATGTGTTAAAATGTTTAGTATCACAGCCCTAGTATACAGTACCTAGACGAGCTTTGCTGCTTTTAGGCTGGAGGCTGCTGTGTGAACTATTGTGAAGTAGCAAAGTCGTACACACCGGCTGACAAAGTTAGATAGTACGCTAAACAGGCAATCGGACCCCGCTGTGGACTTGAGAGAGATGCCTTTTAAAGGTGTCATATTGTTGCTTTAAAATATATCTGAAGTTCAAGGAGGTCAAACTGGAGTTATAATCCCAGTGAATGTGTCACTGGTTCTCTTTCACTCAGTGAAGTCTCACCTTGTCTCTCAGATGATGTTCTGCGGCATCGATATTCAACGGGTCATCAAAGTTCAAAAGGTCCTGGAGAACAGACAAAGAGAGAACATGAAGAAGCTCAAGGTACAGAGAGAAAAGTGAGACAATGTGATTGATTTTGGCCGGATCTCAAATGCTTGTTTATTGCATTAGAGAACTTTTCAGGGTTCAATAATTCTTTTTTCTCTGGCTCAAATTTTGTTTCCCAATAAAAAAAACTAAAACAAAACTGCTGAGAGAGATATTGCCCTGTTCAGCACAATTTGCTGTCTGCAATGTCAACCCAGATTCTGCAAACAAAGCAAACACAAAGCCCTAATTATGCCGCTGCCTTCGAGATGCCGTGCACAACAAGAAGAAAAGTGTTATTAGAGAGATAAAAAAAGGAGGATGGCCTGAGAGGTTGTTTCCTGATTAAGAGGTAAGATTCAGGGCAGGAGCACACATCAGTGCGGATTACCATCTCCATTATCATCATCGCACAGTTCTGACCCGGGGAAGTTTCTAAAAATGAAATCGATGATGCATTTATGCAAGTTTGGATGAGCTAATTGTGCCTATTTTGGGCTAAACTAAAGATAGCTGAACAGGCTGCTAATGTTAGCATCAAAATGATTAGAAAATATGTCCATACTAACCTCCATATGTAACTGTATAAACATCAAATAAAATAATCACTTTTTTTTTCATCTGATATTTAAAGTTTTTAGAATAAACTCCTTTAAACAGTCTATAGATTGTCATATTCTTCTGAATGTATAATTCTTTGTAAATTAGCTTAATTTGAGCTTCATGTAATAATTGTTTTTCTTGTTCTTCTTCCTTATCATCTCAATTTGTTCTTTAATTTGTGAATGATTATTTCCCCTCAGTCAGTAGTTGCAGTCTTGAGGCAGCTTTAATTAAAGATAAAAAGTAGTAATGGTCAAAGTTGAATTAATCAAAAGTGGTGTGCCGATCTTATTTGTTTCTTTGGCCTTTTTAAAAAAATATATATTTTGGATCCAGCACACTCTAAAGCGAGGTAGATGCTACAAGATAACCAGACCAATTTTGGGCCCGATTCCCCCCCCATCCACCCAAAATCAGGACAAGGCCCGATTACCTGATGGTTCCAAAGATGATGAACGTTTAAACGGGAGCTTCTTGGTGTGTGGATCTGGTTTTCTTCTTTTTAAGGTTGAACTAATCACATTAGTGTAACCGTAATGATCACATTACAGTTAAATGTGATTCAGATCACTTATTTCTATTAAGGAAGATTACATGTCTGATTTTGACAGATTTGAGCAAAAATGTGAGCACAGATCCAAGTTTTACATAACATCTTTAAATAATCAGAAACTATAAAATATTCATGTACGTGTTGTTTACTGCCATGATCAAATCAGAGAGCGTTGTGCATTTTAGATCAATCAGTTTAGTGAAAAAACAAATCCCCTGTATGCAAAGTTAAAACAAGCCAAACTTACGGTAAACAAGGAGTTCAATCCCCAGACAACATCCTGCAGAGAACAAATGGAGAAAAAAAAAATATACATCAGCATGTCAAATTGTAAAAACAGTTTAAATATAGAATGAAAGCATTCAGACATTGTGCAAGAGAAGAGCCAAGACTTATACCAGCCTGTTCGGATCAAAAAGCAAGAAAAGAAACACACTGTTAGGATGCAGATATTAAACACTCGAGGGAGGCTCCAATAATTATTTCATACCCAATATTTGACTCCTTTGTATTTGTAGATGATGAACATGTTTATATTAGCTGGCTATTATATATATCTTTTCCACAAATGTTTGATAACTGCATTTGAGGGATTAAAGCAATAAATGTATATTTTGGTATCTGCCCCAAAAATCCCATATCAGAGGGGACCCTATTTCTCAGAAAGAATGCAGTCAGGGTCACTCACTTAGACCATAACACCAGGAAGGTTGTGTCTGTAACCAGGGGATAAAAATCTATTTGTGAATGAATTGAAGTTATTTGTTATTTCAGAAAGAGGTGTTTTCTTTCTAATCACAGAAATGACGAGAAAAAATAGCCCATCAATGGTGGTCTTGATTTAAGATCCCGAGTCTGCGTAGTCCGTAGCCTGGAAGCTACAGTATGTGAATGGAAAAACAATATCCTAATTGCCTTTTTATCATTGCAGCTAACGACCTTCATTATCCCACACGTTATACTTACAGGAAAATTCCAGCAGCAACATGATTAAGTAATAGAACAGATAATGCAGAACAGGAGCTGTAATTCACTGCGAGCTGCTTGCGAACAACCACTGCTTGTTCATTGATTGACAATTTCAAGGTAATGCTTTCTTGGCTTCTATTCAATTATATTTCACACATTCCAAACACTTGTGCGGAAATCCTTTACATAATGGAGGGAAGCTTTGAACCTTGAGTATTTAAGATAAGCAGTAATTGGCAAAATGTCTGTTCTATCAACTGTGCCTTCAAGAAATTAAATGGAAATAATCTTTGACAGAATTCCAGGCTGAACTCCTTCCATGTCTTTCAGGTCTGTGTACTAATCCAAGAAAAAAAAGATTGACCGGAGGGCTCACCGGTTCAAGTCCAGGCTCAGAGCTAAGTGCTGAATTGAGTTTGATCTATACACCTAATGTTTTACACATTAGTCATAATAGTAATAGTTAGATGTTTCAAAACAAGGAACAGTTTCCATATAATCATAACTACATGATACCACAGTGCATGTCAGAACTCTAGAAAGTCACCGCATCAAAACGTAATCTAAATGTTTGTGTTTTTAGTTTGAAAGATGTTCTGGAACTGTTTCACAGCCAACAACAAATTTATTCAAACAAAAAAAAAAACAGCTGTGACCTGCACCACTCTTTCCTTTGTGCATTGCATCGTGGGAGGAAGGTGTGCATAAGCAGAAAACAGAAACATTGCACCACTGCATTTAGTTTGTAGTTATGTGTGGTTGTTATGTACTCATTTTGGTCTTTTAGGGTTGAGAACAATGAGACATTTTCAACACTTCTTTGAAAAGTTTCTTTATCATTCCATACAGGATAAAACTGGCTTTATAGCTGACGTCATTACAAAAGAACTCCAGCTCTATCCCAATGTTTTGAATTTGGACTGCAAAGCCTTTTTTAAATGCTAGGTGTCAGAATTAAATATTGGTCCTTTAACTTTGCAATCTGTTCGTGAACCGGTCAACAGTTTGTGTGAAAACGTTTACAATACTGATGCAAATCTGGAACACATTTTCTTCACCGAGCCTTAAACATACACCATACAATATCTACCCTGTTTAACAAAGCATGTTTTGTATATTTATATTTGTAGATATTGTTCATAAATTCAATTCCATGAGCATGTACAGCTAATTAATCTTCAGATACACTTGTTGATTATTCTATCATTTCCAACGTATATTTGTATTCTATATTTCCTACTGCTATGTTGTGCAACTGTGATGACCGAATTTCCCCCTAGGCTTAAAGTATTTCTGATTCTGATTTCCCTTTCCTTAGTAACTGTCGTTACTATGGTCACACACCTAGCAACAGCCAGAAGTCAAAATGGTTTAGCCATCATAGAGTCTGAATGCAGTTTGCATGTGTGTGTATATATATATATAACATCAATTCAACAATAATAAAGAGGAAGTCATAACCAGTCAGAACTGTTCTTTTGTAACCTGTTTTTCAAAGCTTTGCACATAAAATGTGTGTTGAATAAAAGTAATTGTTGCGACGGTATTTTACATGACACTGGGTGTGTGGGCATGTGTGTGTGGGCTGAAGAGGAGACAAGTGGTGACCAGCAAAGAGGGACATCATCACCCACTCCAGCACTAACACAATCCTTTCTGACTCACAGCTTTTTGCACTTACCTTTTCTCACATATATTTTGTGCACTCACCATGATACTCACTGACACACATAAAAACATCGTTTCCGGCAGAGTATCGCAACGCAGCAGGCTCCTTTCCAATCCCTAAGCTGTAAGCCTCCCAATGCTAGCTGTGCTTTCATCTCAACTTTGCAGTAAACTGATACAGAAGCCTAAATACATGTATCTGTACAGCAAAATGTAGAATAAATAAATTCATACCAATTACATGAAATCTACAATACTAACCGGAGTCCTCCGTAAGCCTGATTTATGTGCTCATTGGTTATTATTGCTTCAAAAATGCCAAAAATACATAAAGATAAGCACCCAATCAGTATGCAAAGCTGCTTTCTGCACCGAGCCTTCTTAGAATCAAGGCTCAGGGGAAAGTATTCAAAGGATTTAAAACAACAACTGAGACTTACTACATTCTAAAACACGAGGGGGGGGGGGCTTGTTTTTTAAGAGCAAGATATTGATTGAAAAATGTAATATGAAACATAAAGTTCACAATTTTCACAAGAAAGCTTTGAAATGCTGTTAAATTTAAATACATTAAAATATCTGAGGTAGTTTTATGTTTACCACTGGCTCACGTTGACAACTGTACTTGATAGTCTGGTGGGTCAGAGTAAGAAAAATCTATTCACCAGAAAAGGAAGGCAGGATGTAGCGAAGGGAAATGATTATTTTAGAATTTGTATGCATAAAGAAAGTCTCTAAGTAAATAAAATAAAAAGCTGTGTGTGTCTCTTAATGTACACCACCTCCTTCTACCTCGACATCTCATGGTGATAATAAGGCATGTTTATGCACAACAACCCACTGCCACATCCTGAAGAGTGGAGTACCTTGAAGTGTTTTGCTATGATACAAAGGTGATTCTTTGCATACAAATACATTTCAAATAAACAACTGCAACCTTCTGTTTTTTCTCAACAACTTTTTTTCTGTCATTTTTTGCAAAAAAGTGAAAATCACAGCAGGTATTCAGACATAGTTCCCATAGAAGGGGGTGATATTTAAGTGAGCTGGTTTGGTCTTTGGTTGGTATAACATGACAGTGTTTGTTTTCTGATGTAACCAGGTCTGACCAATATGGCATTTTTGGGGAGAAAGAAATCTGATACCGATATATATTGGGCAATATCTTATTTTTAGATCTATGTTCCATCTGTAGAGATAGATACACACATTTATTGCATATATTGCTCACATGCAGTTATCAAACACTTGTGGAAAAGATGGTCACTCAAGTTAGAAGTAACTGAGCATGTACGTGCATCACCACCATCTGCCATAAAATTAGACGATACCAATAGTGACTGGATAAGCTAATACCGGCCAATATTATCTGTTGGCTCTAGTTGGGTGTGTCATGCACAAATCACAAATGTTCTGTTGGCAAACTTAAACAAATTGTGAGGTGAATATGAGCATTCTGGGACACCTAGCCAAGCTGACCAACAACTCCCTCTGGGCTTGTTGTTTTTTGCTCTGGGTTGATACGGGACAGGACGGCAATTCTTTCAGCTTGTTTATGTTTCACTCAGAGGCTCAAACATGTTTCATGTACGTGAACCCCCTCCCTGTCCAACCCTTAGCCCTGCCACCACACGGGGGGAAAGACAGACTGCCAAGCCCACTCAGTGTTGCTGTTAGTCGAAGCATCATGGCAGAGTTTGACTGCAAGAGTACAATTAAAGGAGAACCAACAGACTTTAAAAACCAGAGAAAATACTTCAAAGAAATAAGTACCAAATCAACTTTAGACTGCATATCTGAATGGAGATCAGACGTAGAAATTTGGTCGGAAGACTAAGTTAGGGGTGGGGGAGGAGGGGAAGTGGTGCACTAGGGACAGCTTTGTTTTGGTTTAAGAGACTGGTCTCTACATCTCCAGGAAATCTGAAAGTTGCATATTATAACTTTAAAATCTGTACCCCCTGTAATTATTTTGGTTTGTATGTCAACATAAGAGAGGAGGGAATCACAATATTTTGTTGGCTCAATCATTGGCTCATGGGTTCAAAAGGCAGAGTTGGTTCAAATGCTATTTCAGATGGGCTGCTGAATGGAAGCATTTTGGATCAAAACAGACAGAATGCACTCACAGTGGTGCTGCATAACTATATGGGGGTTTTTGGGGTGTTTTCTTATTCACGCATGAAGAAAATGATATCATGCAGAGTGAAACCCTAATGTGTTCAGTGATGTGGGTAACGATGACATTCCAATATAACAAACATTATCTAGTTTGACAGTTTTCCATTATGCAGGATATGATTTGTCTGAAAACCGAGGAAGAAGGCGAACAAGTAAGCTCATGTGTGCAAAACCACAGCAGAATGAGAACTCCTAAGAATGAGACACATCCTGACAATAACCTCAAGAGCAGCAGAATTTAGTGGATGGCCCTTTAAACATGTTGGGTGACAATTGTGCTTCAGCACAGTACGGGACAACTGAGCCTAGTGATAGTGCGCCCTTATAGTTTAAGAGAAACTTTTCAGAAGCAGAGATTCACCATTCAAATATATTTAGTTCCACACTCAAGTTTCTTTAGAGCATCATTTTAGTCAAATCTTCAATATCAATAGTAGAGGGCGGCCTTGCTTTTATTCCTTACAGACTTATTCTTAACCACTCTCAAATGGTGCTCTGCTGAGTGAAGAGTAAAGCTTAAGTAGTCAAGGCGCTCTTTTATGAGCTGCTGAAAAGGCCTTTGTTGTAAAGTTTATCTAACATAGCCCTGCGAAGGATTATTCATTGTGTACTGAGAGGATTTCACTGTGTTTTCAACAGCACTCTGCAGTCCTGCTTGAACCCTCATTGAGTCAGTTTAAGAGGGTAAAGAAACAGGTGGAATATTAAGAAGGTGTTATGTGAATGAGTGTCATCCTCAGGTCTTTTGTGCTCTAGATTACCCAGTCTGTGAAGACTAAGGCTTTGCTGTATTCATTTTAAACATTTCATACATCTTCTTAAAGATTTGAGAATAATGCATTGTTACAAGATCACAGATATCCAAGTTTCTGTCACTGCAGAAGTAACTTTAAAACAGCGAGTCATTGGCACTACTACCAGCCGTTGTCACTGACGCCCAGCCACCCCTTTCAGACTGCGTCGTCCCCACAACCACGCGCATCCTCATTCATGCACGACCTGCTCCGACCTCCACCTCGGCGGCCAGGAAGTGTGGACAACAGGAACGTGAGGAATACAAAGGAGAAATACTTCCTGCATATTATCCCATCTCCCCTTTTCTTCTGTAACATAACAAAGAGTACTGTCTTCTACCTGCTCTTTTTTAATATTAAATAACAAAGAGTAAGTTCTTTTACATGCTCTTTGTAAAGCGTCCCGAGTTAACCTTTGTTATGAATTGGTGCAAATACAGATTGATGATTGATTGAAAAGTTCTATAGACATGGGTTTATTAAAAAAACGTGTTTCCAATGTATTTTATGTCATGCTACAAAGACAGTAAACATAGGGGGTAGTGAGAAGTGACACAAAACAATCCATATATCTCTCTGGACGACTTCTGATTATCATAAATAAAGCTTCCACTGAGCAGGGGTGCAACTTGAGTGGGGGAATTACATGCTTTTTTTTATTAGTCCATGAAGGGTTTTTGTGTTATGTTGTTTTATATGGAATAGAAAAACTTCATGTGGTAGAACTGTAAAATAATGTTTAAATCTGCTACTCTATTTTGTAAGATTTAAATATATGAAAAGCTGCAAATGTCAATTCTTCTGCAGAATGGTTGTAAGAACAAGTTGGACCCTCAAAGAGAAACAAAAGGTTGCTGCCATACAGAGTGGTGTAAAACTGTCCCATTAGAGTGAAGCCATCATCCACACTTAAAAAACAGATAAAGAAAATCCACAATAAAAAGCTCTAAAAGAACTGATTTATATATATTTTTAAAAGCTGCAACATACTGTAAGCTTCAGAAGCAAAAATTAAAAAGCAATTAATATACCTTTAATGTTCTGGTGGGGGCCCAGCCTGTGCCGTCAATAGAGTGTTCCCGCAATAAGCTGTATGAAAAAAAAAAAAAAGGCCAAAAATTGTCAATACGTGTCATTTCCCAATGAACTGATGAAAAAAATACATGAGAACAGATTTCTAGTGTATGGGAGTCATTTATTCTATTTACTTTGTAAGCAGTTAGAACAATACTGCACTATGAATGAATAGAACAGATGAGCTAACGACGGAAGGTTTTTCATCAGTGACACAATGAAGAAGGTGTGGACCACATTACCTCAAACAGATCTCTCCATTCTCTGTGATGTTAGGATGCCATATTCTGGTCAGACATCTCACTTTAGGAGGCTGCAAGGTCACAGGAGGGGGGAAAAGTCAAGAGTGTGGACAGAGAAACACGTATTCTATGATAACTTTAAGCTGTCAACAAACTTGAAAAAAAAACTCAATCCAAAACATGGGTTTCTTTAGTAGAGTGTGTGGTGGTGGCTGTGTCTGCAGAGACCCTGTCCTACAGTATGTCTGGATTTTGACGTTTTGTGTTGCTTTGGTTGACCCTGGACTTTTCTGGGCGGGGGTCTCTTGTGTTTCCCTCAGCAAGTGAATTTAGGAGTCTATACAATTCAGCGATTGGACGCATTTCAAACCGGTAAATATGAAGGAAGTGGAAATGGTGGCAAGGAAGGGAAAATATTATCACAGTGAGGCAAAACGCCAAAAAGCTTGTTCCAAAACAAGGGTGAACCTTGTGTTGACTTCTACCTGCGGATGCAGATACTTTCTGTTGGACAGGCAGGTGCCAAACACAGGTGGTTAGCTTGTGCTAGCGTGTGGTAGCTTGCAGTGTAGGTACATGCAATACATGTGCACACTACGTCCTGCAGTGGGTGTGCAATTCTGGGGGCGATGAGCCCAGTAGGAGGTGCCCAGTTTGAATGTTGTGTTTACAAGCTGCAACCAACAATGCTAACTGACTCTACCTTTAACATGGTTTAAGTTATATGCTTTTTCTGATTAGACATGGCCTCAGGTAAGGAAAAAAAACATTTTGTAAGCAGAAAGAAGCAAGAGAAGAGAGTGGAATTTGCAACCATAACAGCAGTGTCACTGCTGGACCTCCTATATAAATGAACAGATAAATATACATCATTTAACTCTAGTGTGTTTTGCCATCTCTTGTGTTTATGTTGTGATTCTTCAGTCATAATTAAACAGTCCTCAAAACTCCATCGCTGAAAGATGGTTTATTTGCTGTGTTTGGTCAACATGGACTGTGCCGTCTGAGGACAGAGGATGGCGGGGGAGAAATAGGCCTGAACTGACCACAACACAATCCTAACAGCTTGCATTATTCATTGTTAATTATCTATTTATAAACACAGAGGACAAATACAAAACAACACAACTGCTGTTACCATTTTTTACTGCTGCTACTATATTAGTATAAATATTCATACCTATCTAAATATTTTATTTATACATGTCTTTTGCTGCTACTGGTGTACAGTATATTATTTGTATACATGTATAACTTGAGTTTTTTTTATTTTAGTTTTTGTATCGGTGTGCTGTTCTATCCTTTGGTGTTACCTGCTGCTGGAATCTGAATTTCCTGAGGGAACCTTCCCAAGGGATTTAATAAAGTTTTGACGGGTAAATCAGATTATCATGTAACAGCCCTAATGGCAGGTCGATGATGACTGTACCTGGAGAATCCTAAATATCACATTTGAGGTTTCCTAGACCCACAACAAGGTCTTACAAGCTATGTTGCTACTGCTGTTCTTTCTGTTAATAGAATCGGAAATATAAAGCTTGGGTTACACAGGCACAGTCAGTTAATGAATAATAATAGCTATCAAATGAACCAAATGCCAGTCAATTGCAATACATTAAAATGCAAATAGGCCTATTTGAGGTTCCTGATAAGCTGATAAAGCCGATCTTTGAAGCGAAGGACGTCAGCTTCAGTTGACCTGACAGACACATAAATAGATTTAGCTGATATTTTGTGATTAAGTGTCCATCAGGCTGTCTGGAGGAAATAATCCAACGTGAATTTATTTTGTTTTTGTCAGCCAGATACAACAACAACAACAACAACAACAACAACAACAAGGAACGTGCAGACGGCAGTTTGGCAGTGGATTGTTCATCTTCACTTTAGGGAGATTTAACAGCGGCACATCTGAGTGTGCTTCTGCCTTTTACAGTTGAATATTACATTGTATACAGTTCAGTAGAAAGAAGGGATTTATCGATGGAAGTTAGCATAGTTTTGTTTACAGCCATTTTTTGTCCTGAAGCCCAACATTTTTGAATCTCTCCCAGGGGGTCAGTTATAGCCCATGCCAGGGATGGGCAACTTTGGTCACATCAAGGGCCACATTTATTTAATTCTCACTGCCAGGGGACCAAATTGTAGGACACAAAAAAAATTACAGTCACTTGTGTCTCAGATTTACCAGTGATCAAATATTATTACCGACACATTTCTGGTTTTCATGATTTCATTGACCTGAGGGCCACGTTGAGGGTTGATGGGGGCTGCATGTGGCCCACCTCACCACTTCACATCGATCTTTTATCAATAGAGGTCCATTATGTTGGACACCTTTTGTTTTTGAGGGAGGCTATCAGGTCTTTGTATTGGGTGTAATGTGTAAGTGCACAATCATGTATTTTTGGGGCGGTGAACCTCACAGACAGAAACCCATTTACACTTAAGTCCTACCCTGAAGCCTGTGTGTATGAAGAGAAATCAATAAGAGGCTGTTCAGGATGGACTGTTGCAATGTGAACAACTACGAGATGCTACCAGGTTGTAGACAGCTTTTTGTCAATTAACTGGATGTGCAGGCTAAAAGGCATGAAAATAAGAACTACCTCCTTTAATAATTACATTCCATAATTGCAATTGGAGTCAGGAGTATCATTCCCCTGGCTCGCTTGTGCAATTTAACCCCATTATGCGTTTAACTGGACTTTTTATCTGAGGTAAGAGAAACCCTTCCGAAACGTCACACTGCTTTTCCATTCCATTATTTACCATTCTCAAGCAGGCACCATAACCGGCAACAGATTGCTGCATGTAGAGGGAACAGTGTTTGTTGGCTTAAATGTGTAATAAAAGACTCAGACGATAGACAACAATGCAAAGCATAAATACATGTGCAAAGGTAAATACAGGCACAAACAAAAGACGCACATTCACACAGGCAAACACATGCTGGCACGGTGAGATAAAGCCTGCGGAGCGAGAATGGATGGAGGAACAGATAGAGGTGAATGAATGATGCAGTGCATTTTTTACTCAGGAGACAAAAAAAAAACATTTGCAAGATTCGAACAGAGCACCTTGACTTTCATTTATGAATTTGAATTGATGAAAATGTCACAGTTAATAATCTGAAGGCACCACATCTTTGTTCTAGCCTGATTCATATTCCTCATTCAAAAAAAAAAAAAACAGGCCAAAACAGGAAGGGAGGTTAGTTTGACCGACCAGAACAGGAAGCTCCCACCTAAAGCTGACAGGCAGGTGGTCAAATACATAAACACACAAACATACACATAAACTCCTTTGACAAAAACAACTGATAGAAAAACTGGACCACTTACCACCATGTTATAGGCTTCGGGGACGTCGATTTCAAACTGAAACCTTCCACTTTGGTAGTAACCCTCATCTGGAAGCAGAGTCAGGAAGATGAAGAAGAAATGTTTAATGACAATCATCAATTTGTACTTTCTGTAAAGAAGGCCTTCAAAGTCACCACTGCTGTTAATGGTTAAGAATCATGTACAGGTAAGTCATCAACTTAAACATGAAGACTTAAAACTAAAAACACACCACTAATGCCTGGCCCATGATTTTTAACCTCTGTATAGATTTTGAAATGTGAGAGACCCCACATGTGACCAGGGCTGTGTAAAAATAGCAATTCATCAATGCACTGCAATTTAGTATTTGCCCAATTCAATATTGATTCAGAAAATCCTGAAATGGATTATTTCCTTTGTAATGAAGTCCCTCTCCTGTGGGGGGTGCTGTTGGTGCCGCAGTACTGTGATTTGCGTTCTACAGAGGCCCCACTCAGCTAAACAACGTCTGTTGTTTATTCAACAAAATGGCCACAGCGATGGGTAGTCATTTGAAGTAAGGGCCTCAAGCAATTGAAGCTGATGTTTGGACACGTTTTAGACTGCGGTGTAAAAGTGGAACAGAAGAAGTCCATAGAAGAAGTCATGTGGTGCGTGAGCTGTGTGAGTCAGTATTTAAATATAAAAACAAGACGACCAAACCTACGCAACCACTTGAGCCGACTCCACGCAGAAGTTTTGAAAACTTGAATGAATGATTGAATGACTCTATTTCGATCTAAAAATTAAAATAAGATGATAAAGAACAACTTTACGTGTACTTGACTTTTTCCATATAATTACAGCACAGTTAGGTTTAATACTTTGGTGTCGTTAATTCAGCTCAGGCACAGATGTTGCTCTTTAGAGCCGACTTTCCTTTATGTTTTATCCTTTGTTTACTAAAGAATCATGCAACAGTGAAATACATCTTGGAGTCAGTTTGTTCTAAACCAATACGGTATTAAGGGTTGCATTGAACATGTTTGAAATGAATCATTTTAAATCATCGCTCCTCAGACGTCCTTTCACCCTCACCAGCTGACATAAACAGAAAATGTGTTTAAGCCTTTAGAACCATAAAAGAATTGCGACTTTATTTAAGATCTATGGAAGGAGAGAAGGTCCATGGCCCTGTTATCCTGTAGTGTGTATCCTGCTTAACCCAACTTCAACAGAAAACTACCCAAAGCAGTAGATCCGAAGATTTTCACTTGAATGTTATGTCCCCACACACATCCATAAATACCAAGCAAAGAGTCCTCAAGTGCTGCCTGCAATGAGGACAGGTCAGAAGGTGCATCCTTTATGGGCAAACGGGAAATGGTCATTTCTTCTTCAATGAAAAATTAAAACCAAACTAAGCCCCAGGTGTTGCTTTAAGACTTAAAGGAGCTAGGGTCATATAAAATGCAATTGCTGTTAAAAAATAGATGAAGCTCAATGGTGAGGTGCTAAAGCTCCCTGGGAGTCGAATATGGGGTTCTTTTTTATTGGTGGCACTCAACATTGAAATCCAGGAGGAAGCTGAAATATGAAAATAATTGTTGTATTTTGTTGAGTATAATGTTACATCCCTCGCCATCCCTTAATCACCTCAGCCAAGACAGGAGACTAAATGGACGCACCTTTTGAAAGAACTGAAGCTGTATCTTGGAGCTTGTTTAGAGGGAGTGACTCCTCAAAGTGAAACCATACAGTCCGACCAGATTCAGACATAAGGTCAGAAATAACACAAGCTTTAAAACTCAAAGAAAAAAGAAAGAAAGGGCTCCACACATATGTGAGCAGAAAATACAAATCAGCATTGAAATACTTGAAGTCAATTGCAGTGGCATTTGTTAGGTCTTTAAATAAAGATGCCAAACGTACACAGTCCTTCTCTCTTCATCTCTGTAGCATATTTAAGCCTATTAAAAGGCTTGTTTAGGATATGGAATCTGTCATTAATTAGTTGGTTTAACATTCAGTGATGTGAAAGGTTCTCAATGAATTGATTCCCGGGACCCACAGGTGCTCATTTGATTGGGTCCCAGGGAAATTATGTTCCCTAAAATGAATGCAATCAATACAATTTCAAATAAACACAGTTTTGGGTCCACACTTTTCAGAAAATGCTTTTTATCTTGATGATCATGGCCTCAAGGTGCACGGTGCTGCAGTGGTTGGCACGACCATGCGTTCCTGCATGGTTCAAAATCCCCGGTCAGACAGGAGCCTTCTGTGAGGAGTTTGCATGTTCTCCCCTTGCATGTATGGACTGGGTTCCCTACTCAGGCTTTCTCCCACGGTCTAAGGACATGCTCATTAGGTTAATTGGTGACTCTAAATCGTCCGTAGGTGTGGTTGTTTGCATGTCGGCCCAGTGATTGACTGGAGACCGGTCCAGGGTGTAACCCCGCATCTCGCCAAATGACAGCTGGGCTCAGGTCCAGCACCAGCGCAAACCCGAACTGGACAAGCTACATACATAATGGATGGATGAATGGTTCCAGCCTCCAGATTGTCATCCCCATTGAGCTCGTGTTACAGCTCACTCAGGTGGACTGACACTTTTTGAAACTCACAGTATGACTGACCTCAAGAAAGTGAGAGCAAGACATAAAGAGGAAAAGAAAGAACTTTGTAAAAAGCAAAGTCATCATTTAACTCTCTGTGCTGTATTGACAGAATCCAGATTTGCATATTTTGTCTGAAATTTCATTGCTCAGCAGTCTTGCATGGACCAATATCAAAATCAACTCTGCAAAATAGTTTGTAGGATCTCATTTACATACGTATATGGAGGGTCAAATGTGTAAGTGACAGCTTTATGAAAATGAGAGTTTTATCAATGAAAGCATGATGCTATATTATTGGTGGATGCTTTTAAGAAGATGTTAAATGACTGGAGACGGACACATTCGGCTGTAGATGTTCTTCCTGATGTGTTTGTGGATGATCTTGATTTGTGATGTGTTTTTTAATGTCTAATAATGTATTTTTTTTGTTGTATTTGTATGGTGGGCTGCTTAGGGTTTGTTTGAAACTCTGTAAATTGTGCTGCTGCTTGTATTGGCCAGGATACTCTTGAAAACGAGATTGTCTTTCCTGATTAAATAAAAGAAATACAAACACAACGATGTTTCTACCTGCACATTCAAAAAATGAATAGACATGCATCTCTGTCTCCCTCTCCCTTCATCTTTGTGCGCTCACACTGAGTAACTGAGCAATTCGAGATAAGCGTCTCACAAAAGGCCCTTCTAAACGCACTGATCCCATTCCCTTGACAGAGACACAGACAGAGACACAGACAGAGGTTCAATTTAATTAGACACACACAGACAGTCTCCATGTAAAATATATGAGAAGAGACAGGGATAGAGGCAACAGCTTGACCGAGTGTGAGTAGAGAAAAATGAAAAAAAACAACATATCCAGACTCGATATGTTAAAATACAAAAGAGAAAAAAAAACCAAATGGAAATAAATCTACTGACTAACAGCAGCATAAAGAGGTCATGAATTATCATGAGAGTCTACAGTGCACTGGAACGATCAGTCTGTAATGTCACTAGATACTGGACATACTGGACCACACACACACACACACACACACACACACACACACACACCACACACACACACACACACACACACACACCACACACACACACACACACACAACACAACACACACACACACACACAACACACACACACACACACACCACACACACACACACACACAACCACACACACACACACAACACACACACACACACACCACACCACACCACACACACACCCTACTGTAACACCTAAACTCCAAACTTTCAGGGTAAGTGATTTCAAATGCCAGAAAGACGTTAACAATTTAATGTAAACCACAATTGGGACTAAAAATGCATAAGCGATATTAAACTGTAGTTCAGTCTGAATCAGTGTTTTGTTAACTGTGAGAAATAATAGATTTTCTGCTTGAATACACGTGTGGAGCTAAAAGCAGAGCACACTAACAGAAAATCACTGAAAATCATATTCCTAGGCAACATGATCATATACGGTATTTAAATTGCTTCCTGGACTGTTTTCATTTTCATCAAATGAATCAGAGAAAATACTCACAATAATGTCAACAATGTGTGCTAAAATCACATATCTACATCTCACATTCATGTGGCTGCTGTGAATTTCAATGTGTGATTTCTCCTATAGGATGGAAAAGTGAGGCAAAGTAGGTAGAGCGAGACGGGTATTCAATGAGCTCTGAAAGGCGTACCTTCAAGAAGAATATGGTGAGATGTACCAGAAAGAGTACATCTGCTAGAAGCTGAGAAGCTGCTATGTTGCCTTTTCTTTTCTTTTCTTTTCTTCTTGTCTTTAACCCAGATTCGTCCCCTTAGTAACATATTTTGGAGACAGGGGGGGGAAGCTTGGGCGAAATGTGTTTTTTATACCATGGGAACACAGCTACTGGTATGATTTAGATTCTTACCACAGTCTTGTCTCTGGCATATTTTCAATGATAATAATTAGTGCTCTGTTTAAACTAATGTAATCATTAGACAGAGGCAGAGTTTCTGGTAGGAGTTTAAAGACTCAAAACTCTCCATTTGCTGTGTTGTGTCATGAACATGAACATATAATGTTTCGAAGGGATTGTGAGAAAAAACTATATTTGATAATATCACTTTCATAAAGTCAGTATTGTTCATATGATAAAGGGTTTGATCAGTCACAGGATCATTGCAGCTCACCGATACTAAAATAGTACACAAGATACAATCGTATGAAATACACGAACGTTAACTGGCTCAATCAATAAACACAAAAATGCATTAGACTGAAATTCAGCCAGCCAAAATTTTAATTCTGTTGGCTCGGCTCCAGAGAAGTGAATAAACGAACAGCAAAGACGAGTGAAATTTCAGAAAAGTATAAGACACAGCACACAGCATGTGTTTAAAACACAAAGTCATCCAGGGTGCTACAGTTATAATAAAACCTTCATATACAGTAAACAGTGAGTCTTACAGGTAGTATGGAGAATTCAGACTATGACC